CCGGCGAAACGGCAAGTCCACAATAAGCAAACCGCGAAATAGCAAGGGAACACTGTACTCTTTTCTGCCTTGCAACTGACCAGAACTACCTCTGACTTGTCTGGATTTAGTTTCAGCTTGTTGGCCCTCATCCAGTCCATCACTGATGACAGGCACTGGTTCAGGATCAGAACAGCATCCTTGGCTTTTGGTGGAAAGGAGTAATAGAGTTGGTGTCATCGGTGTAAATTTGACACCAAAGTCCAAAACTCCTGATGATTTCTCCCAGTGGTTTCATGTAAATGTTAAACAGCATGGGGGACAGAGGAACCCCAGAGTCCACCGGCCAGGGAGTGAAACAGGAATCCCCCAGCACCACCTTCTGGGTCTGGCCCTCCAGGAAGCACCGGAGCCACTGCAGAACAGTGCCCCCAAGCCTCATCCTGGAGAAATGGCCCAGAAGGATACCACGGTAGATGGTATTGAAAGCTGCTGAGAGGTTCAGGAGAACCAGCAGGGACACACTCCCCCGTTTAGCTCTCTTCGTAGATCATCCACCACGGTGAACAATGTAGTTTCATTTCCATAACCAAGCCTGAAACCAGATTGAGATGGATCCAGATAATTGATTTCATCCAAGAAACTTGGGAGTTGTGATAGCCTTCATAGATGCATAATCTGGAACTGAATAAGATTTTTTTCCATCTCGGAGTGGAAGGGACGTTGGTGGCACCATTCATGACTTCTCCACGGCCTTTACATTGTCTTGGTCTGACCTTGCCATGACTTAAGCACAATGGCCTGAATCCAGGGGAAATTTGTCATGTGCAAGTCCCATTGTAATCAATGGGACAAGTTCATTGTATTCGGGAATTGACTGTGGTTTCGTTGTCTTTGGATTTGGGCCAATGTTCAGTCTCTGTAAAAAAAAAATACAGCTGAACTGATGACATTGATAGAGGAAGCTGATGGGTGGAACAGGGAAACAGTTGCATAGGTGTTGCGGGAAAGACAAACAATCCTGTTGAGACCTTACTTACTTTTTTATTTAGGCGATCCCTCGCTTTCCGAGGATGATTGTCTTCCAATATTCTTGTGGGTCCGTATGTGGCTGTGGAGCCCTATTCTTGCTCTGCATCTTCTTCCGCAGTGAGGGCATTGGTTTCCAGGTGGAAGGCGGTCTCGGTCGGGGTTGGCTTGACGCGCCTTCCTCTTGGCACGTTTCTCCCTTTCACCCTCCATTCGTGCCTCTTCAAATTCTGCAGCACTGCTGGTCACAGCTGACCTCCAGCTGGAGCGTCAAGGGCCAGGGCTTCCCAGTTCTCAGTGTCTATGCCAGAGTTTTTAAGGTTGGCTTTGAGCCCATCTTTAAATCTCTTTTCCTGTCCACCAACATTCCGTTTTCCATTCTTGATTTCGGAGTAGAGCAACTGCTTTGGGAGACAGTGGTCGGGCATCCGGACAACGTGGCCGGCCAATGCTGGTGGTCTTTGCTTCTTCCAGCACGCTGACATTTGTCCACTTGTCTTCCCAAGAGATTTGCAGGATTTTCCGTGGCAGCGCTGATGGAATCGTTCCAGGAGTTGCATGTGACGTCTGTAGACAGTCCACGTCTCACAGGCATAGAGCAGGGTTGGGAGAACAATAGCTTTATAAACAAGCACCTTGGTATCCCTACGGATGTCCCAGTCCTCAAACACTCTCTGCTTCATTCGGAAAAATGCTGCGCTTGCAGAGCTCAGGCGATGTTGTATTTCGGTGTCGATGTTGACTTTGGTGGAGAGGTGGCTGCCAAGGTAGCGGAAATGGTCAACATTTTCTAATGTTACACCATTAAGCTGTATCACTGGCATTGGAGAGGGATTGGCTGGTGACTGCTGGAACAGCACTTTGGTTTTCTCGATGTTCAATGACAGGCCGAGCTTCTCGTATGCTTCTGCGAAGGTATTTAGAGTGGCTTGTAGATCTTCTTCTGAATGCGCACAGACGACGTTGTCATCAGCATACTGGAGTTCTATAACAGATGGTTGTAACCTTGGTTTTGGCTTTCAGTCTGCTGAGGAATAGCTTGCATCTGTCCAATAGATGATTTCCCACTCCGGTGGGAAGCTGCCCATCAACAAGGTGAAGTATCATAGCAATGAAGATGGAGAATAGAGTTGGGGCAATAACACATCCCTGTTTGACACCCGATTCCACCTTAAATGGGTCACTTTGGGAGCCATTGCTGTCCAAGACTGTTGCCATCATGTCATCATGGAGGAGCCGCAGGATGTTCACAAATTTGTTTGGGCACCCGATTTTTGGAGGATGGTCCAGAGAGCGCTGCGATTCACTGTGTCGAATGCCTTTGCAAGGTCGATGAATGCCATGTACAGAGGTTGGTTTTGTTCCCTGCATTTTTCTTGGAGCTGTCGTGCAGTGAAGATCATGTCCACGGTTCCTCTGGAGGGGCGGAAGCCGTTCTGGGATTCTGGGAGGGTGTCTTCTGAGAGGGGCAGAAGGCGGTTTGCAAGGATTCTTGCGAGGATTTTCCCAGCGGAGGTTAGAAGGGAGATACCTCGATAGTTTCCGCAGTCTGTTCTTTCCCCTTTTTTGAAGAGGTGATGATGGTGGCATCCTTGAAGTCTGCTGGGATTTTCTCAGTCACCCACACTTTTTCTATGAGCTGGTGGAGTTGGTGTGTCAGCTCAGGTCCTCCCTCTTTAAAGATTTCAGCAGGGATCCCATCTGGTCCACTGGCTTTGTTATTCTTCTGTTGGCTGATGGCATTGCTGACTTCTTCCAAACTAGGCAGTGCTGCAAGCTCGTCCCTGGTTTGTTGTTGCGGGATTTGTGAGAGGACCTCTTCGGCCACATTGGAGCTGCGGTTCAGGAGGCTTTGGTAGTGTTCTTTCCAATGTACTGCAATTGATTCTTTGTCCTTCAGAAGTTTGGTTCCATCTGATGAGTGTAGAGGGTGTATGCCATGGTTTCTTGGTCCATAGATGACCTTTGTGGCTTTGAAAAATCCCTGAGCATCATGGGTATCTGCCAGGTGTTGGATTTCTTCAGCCTTCTTTGTCCACCAGATGTTCTTGAGTTCTCTTGTCCTTCTTTGGACCTCAGCTTTTGCACTGGCGTAGATCTTTTTCTTAGCAGCACAGTTGATGTCTCTCTGCCATGTTTGGAAGGCTTTCCTTTTCTTGTCAATTAGCTGTTGGATCTCGTTGTCATTTTCGTCAAACCAATCTTGATGTTTCTTGGTTTGATATCCAATAGTTTCTTTGCAGGCTGTGATGATGGAGGTCTTCAGTTTGTTCCAATGTTCCTCAACATTTTCGGGGTGTTCTGTGGGTAGATGGTTCTTGAGTGCTGTTTGGAGATGGGCTCGTCTGGAGGGCTCCTGAAGGGCTTGGGTGTTCATTTTGCGCCTTGTCTTTCTTCCTTGGAGCCTGCGCTTGGGGGAAATCTTGAGAGCCATCGTTGATCGGATTAGCCTGTGGTCAGTCCAGCAGTCGTCAGCACCTGTCATGGCTCTTGTGAGGAGCACCTCACGGCGGTCTCTGGCACGTGTGATTACATAGTCTAAGAGGTGCCAATGCTTTGACCGGGGGTGCTTCCATGATGTCTTGAACTTGTTTTTCTGGCGGAAGAGCGTGTTGGTGATGACAAGGTTGTGCTCCGCACATTTGGTGAGAAGCAGGATGCCATTCGAGTTGCTCTTTTCCTATGGTCCCTGGCCACAGGTCGAAGTCTCGCCCGACTCTTGCATTAAAGTCCCCCAGGAGGATGATTTTGTCCTCCTTAGGTATCCCCGATAGAACGGTGTCCAGCTGACAGTAGAATTTCTCCTTGATGTCTTCATCAGCATCTAGTGTTGGTGCATAGGCACTTATGATGGTTGCCTGTTGGTTTTTGGCAAGATCAATTCGGAGGGTTGAGAGTCGTTCGTTGATGCCAGTGGGTGCTTCAGTCAGATGTTTCACCAGATCATTCCTGATAGCAAAGCCAACTCCGTGCAGTCTTTGGTCTTCTTCGGGCAGTCCCTTCCAGAAGAAGGTGTAGCCTCCTTTTTCTTCCTTCAGCTGTCCCTCTCCTGCTCTCCGGGTCTCCTGAAGGGCTGCTATGTCGATGTTAAAGCGTCCCAGCTCCCTTGCAATGATGGCAGTTCTGCGTTCAGGACGTTCGCTGTCACTGTTGTCCATCAGTGTCCGTACATTCCATGTACCGAAGTTCATTTTCTTTTTTGGCCGCAGGATGGTGACCCCACTGGACGCGGCAGTCCAGTCAGGGATAAGAGGCAGACTATGTTTAGGGCACCTTTTCTAGCCCCCTCCCCATGTGGGGTGAGCAGAGTGGGTCCTCAAAAGGGCTGCTCAGTCGCGGATACAGCTGCCGAACTACTCAACTGCCTCGGACCTTGAGGTAGAACGACTGAGTCTGTACCCACCGCCCATGTGCCAGTCTGTGACTAGAGGCTTCCAGATTTCACAGTCCTGCCCCCGTCGCCACTCGCTGATCACCATGGGACTTTGGTTGGTTGGTTTTTATTTTCTTTGGAAGACGCCTGTGCGTGAGTTTTTTTAATGTGTGGAGGTCAGTGCACAACTGATCAACACACAGTCTTCACAGAGTGAGGTTCCACTGGTGATGTAGTTTAACACAATGACCGTGGCTTCTCAATCTGTTGCAGCCTTCTTCCGCCTTCACAGCCGTTGTAACATGTACCATGTTATCCTCCGCCTGCTCTGCCATTGAGGTCTTTGGGTCTTCGGACTGTGCTTGGTCTGGAACCTCCCCCGCGGCCACTCCTGGGAGTGCACGACTCCAGTTGTTGTGCCTACAGGTTCATCGGAACACGCAAGCCCCCTCACCACGACAAGGTGACAGTCCATCGAGGGGGTGTTGAGACCAATGCTTCTGAAATTAGGCAAACCAATCGTAGCTAAGTAGGAGTTTTCCTAAATAAGAGCCTTACCTGTGGAAAAGTGCATTATTTAATTTGCAACTAACCAGTGTTTTTTTTCTTTCTTTTCCAGACCCCCAAAACCTGTGAGAACTTCATTAAACTATGTAAGAAGAATTACTACGATGGAACCATTTTTCACAGATCAATTCGCAATTTTGTGGTGAGTATTATGGAGTCAGTATGGAGGTATTTTCCCTGCCAAACAAGAGATCTTAAGTGAGACTGCTTTGTGGTAGGATTTCCTTTGGACTAGAATCTGCCACAGGCATAAACTAAGGCTGGCGTTAATAGGGAACCCAGTTGCCCTTCCCAAGTAAGAGCAATGACACCTTGTGTAACATACTTCAGCTTGTCATCACCCATCCCATCAGGGATCACGTTCTTTAATCTTCTTCATATGTGCCATTTCAAACTTGAGTGTGATGTGTGATACAAGCCCCTGAGCTGCATCATCTGCAGTGAGCATCATCATATTTGGCCTTCCAGATTATTTGGATTTCTAGTTCTAGACGTGCTCAGTCTTCATGGCTTATAGGGCCATCTAAAGTAGAGGTGTCCAACCTGTGGCCCTCCAGATGATCTCCAACTCCCAGAAGCCCAGACTAGCTTGTCCAGTGCTCAGGAATTCTGGGAGCTGAAGTCCAAAACACCTGAAGCACCGAAAGGTTGGACACTCCAACCTAAGGAACTTTATTTGTGTGCGTATTCAATCAACGTTGAAATGAAAAGCTGACAATATTTGTGGGCACACCTCCACGTGATCTTGTCCCCATGAGTGGCAAAGGCTGAAACAAGGGGCCTGCTGTATTTGGGGAGCAATTAAGACCCATAATCGTATAAAAGAGATTACCTATATCAGTTTAACCACATTACATTCCTGTTTTGATTCTGCAGATCCAAGGGGGCGATCCAACTGGCACAGGAACAGGTGAGCCCATTGACTTTTGCTTGATTTTTCTGATCCATATTCTTTCGTGCCTACCTCACGACTTCTTTGTAGTTTAAACAGATGGACCCGTGCTCTCTTTAATCTACCCTCTGATTCCTTGAAATGAAAAAAGTCAACATTTTCAGGATGAAATCAGATTAAATTGAGACTTGGAGTCCTGTTTTATGCCTGTCAGAAACCCAATAAGGCAAAACATATTTCAGGTCAGTTATTTGCAGGGTTCGTGACAATTTAAAGCCAACTAACGTGGTTTAAAGTACATTTAATACCATGGCGATACAAATGAAATCTACTAGGCTCCAAAGACAAACATATTTTACTTGGCCTTGGTGTGACCGTAGCATTGCTGCCAACTTGGTCCCACAACTTGTGATATCTCTGTAACAAAATGTGTATGCCACTCCTTTGTAGAACTGACAATGAAGATTACAAGAGGGGACTGGGGCATGCCGAAGGTGTTGCTATTGGCCTATATCCAGTTATTAGTCCCAACTGGAGAAAAGCCATTGAGCAAATGGAGCTCATGTAAGCATTAATTTACAAGAATTGTTGTGGTTAGGACTAAGTGTTGTACTTGGGCCATTGCATTGGTCTTTAAAACAAAAGGGCAAAAATTGGCACCAAATTGGGAGAGATAGCCAATATTCCAGAAGTCAGGAGCAAAATTCAAAACGATCTTAACAGATTAGAGAGATGGGCCAAAACTAACAAAATAAAGTTCAATGGGGACAAATGCAAGATACTCCACTTAGGCAGAAAAAATGAAATACAAAGATACAGAATGGGGGATGCCTGGCTTGACAGCAGTACGTGTGAAAAAGATCTTGGAGTCCTTATGGACAACAAGTTAAACATGAGCCAACAATGTGATGCTGCAGCTAAAAAAGCTAATGGGATTTTGGCCTGTATAAATAGGAATATAGTGTCTATCTAGATCCAGGGAAGTCATGCTACCCCTTTATTCTGCCTTGGTTAGACCACACCTGGAATCACACTGTGTCCAATTCTGCGCACCACAATTGAAGAGAGATATTGACAAGCTGGAATGTGTCCAGAGGAGGGCGACTAAAATGATCAAGAGTCTGGAGAACAAGCCCTATGAGGAGCAGCTTAAAGAGCTGGGCGTGTTTAGCCTGCAGAAAAGAAGGCTGAGAGGAGACATGATAGCCATGTATAAATATGTGAGGGGAAGTAATAGGGAGGAGAGAGCAAGCTTGTTTTCTGCTGCCCTAGAGACTAGGATGCAGAGCAATGGCTTCAAACTACAAGAAAGGAGATTGCACCAGAACATTAGGAAGAACTTTCTGACTGTGAGAGCTGTTCAGCAGTGGAACTCTCTACCCTAAAGTGTGGTAGAGGCTCCTTCTATGGAGGCTTTTAAACAGAGGCTGGATGGCCATCTGTCGGGGGTGCTTTGAATGAGATTTTCCTGCTTCTTGGCAGGGGATTGGACTGCATGACCCACGAGGTCTCTTCTAACTCTATGATTCTAAGGGGAGCCTGCTTTTAAGGGACAAGGCAAAATGATCTTCCACCGATCACTCGGTTGATCTATTCAGTATTGTTGTTCTGTTGTTCTTTTCCATCCCTACCTGAAGACCAGCTGGTATTGAACTTGGGGCATCCTGCCCAAAAAGTTGGTGCTGTATCTCTTGAGCTGTGGCTCTTTTCAAGTTGGATGCATTTCTATAGGTTTTTTTCCTCTTTCTGGCTGCATTGCCTTCTCCAAGCCCACTGTGGAGTTGGGCTATTTTGAGAACTGTCAGATGAGAAAATGCCATCTCCCTGAACAAAGGCCTGGTTATGAAAGATGCTTGTGGAGTTGCTCATGGCCACTTCCATCTCTGCTCAGGCTTGTTGCTTTACCGCTGCTTGGCATAAAGGTCTCGCTGACCCTCTCCCAATTTCCTGCCTTTGCTTGCCTCGCTTGATGGAAACCTTGAAAATTGAAATACAGCTCCAAAAGCTGACTCACCAATAAATTGAAAATTCCTAAGGGCATTGTTTACACTGTTTACAATCCACTTGACCTGCCCTCTCATTTTTAGCAGAAATGAGCTCTGTGGACATTGAGATGAGAGGGAGGGAAATGAATGTAGTGAAGTATCTATCTCATTAGACTCAGATGTTTTGCTGATGTTCCTGTGTTGTTTCCTCTATAACTAGTCCATGGGCTTAATCACAGATATCATTGTCAAGAGATTTTCTTTTCTTGATTAGAAAATTTTCCATTTTAGTGATATTTACTGCAACTCAGTCAACAAATTGTGCAAATTATAAAAGTTGTAACAGTAACTATACTTAAAAAAACACCAACACTCCACTTCTGTAGTAATGAAACATCTCTGGAAGTTTCCAGACAGGCTTTGATTGTGCGTTCCTGCTTAGCTGAAGGAGGTTGGGCTAGATGCCCTTTGGGGTACTCTTACTTTGAGTAGTAAAGTATAAGCTGCCTGGAACTCCAGTGGAGTCTCTTTCTCTGGAGGTTTTTGAACTGAGGTTGAATGTCTGTCTGTTGGGAGGGCTTTGACTGTGTCTTCCTCCTTGGCTGAAGGGGGTTGGGCTAGATGCCCTTTGAGGGTCTCTTCCTCCTCCTCCTCACTCTCCTCCTCCTCTGCCTGCCACGGCTTGCAGGAGCAGTCATCATCATGATTCCCAAATCTCTTTGGGGTATAGTGATACCTTGACTTAAGGGTTTAATTTGTTCCGTGACTGAGCTCTCAACTTGAAATGCTCTCATCAAAGCCCTACAAAAAACCCTAATTTTTTCATTATGTGTTTATAGATAACTAGCGGTCCCCTGCCACGCGTTGCTGTGGCTCAGTCTGGTGATCTGGAAAATAAAGTAATGAGAAAGTGTTGGTTTCTAATATATGTAATGTCTTTATGCTTCTGGGTAAACAGTATTTCTTGCTGTTTCTTTGCCAGTGTTGATGTGGAGATTGTCTGGTTTGCCAACTCTGAAACATGCAAAATATAATTGTCCTTCTTTAGGGGTCCCTTTCAAATCTTTGATACTGCATCTGTCATATACATATGTGTGTGTGAGAGAGAGGGCCTGGATGGCCCTTTGTCAGGAGGGCTTTGATTATGTTTTCTTGCCCTGGTGAAGGGAGTTGGACTGGATGGCCTTAAGGCAGCATTTCTCAATCTGGGGTTTGGGACCCCTGGGGGGGTTGTGAGAGGGTGTCAGAAGAGTCACCAAAGACTACCAGAAAACACAGTATTTTCTGTTGGTCATGGGGGTTCTGTGTGGGAAATTTGCCCCAATTCTGTCGTTTGTGGGATTCAGAATGCTCTTTGATTGTAGGTGAACTATAAATCCCAGTAACTACAAATTCCAAATGTCAAGGTCTGTTTTCCCCAAACTCCATCTGTGATCATATTTGGGCATATGGAATATTTGTGCCAAGTGTGGTCCAGATCCATCATTGTTTGAGTCTACAATGCTCTCTGGATATAGGTGAACTACAACTCCCAAACTCAAGGTCAATGCCCACCAAACCCTTCTGTGCTTTCTGTTGGTCATGGGAGTCCTGTATTTTTATTTATTTGACTTGTATACCGCTACTCCCAATTTGCCTCAGAGCGGTTTACAGCAGTAGATTAAAACAATACAATTAACTTTAAAATACAATAAAAACAAGAACAGACATAGTCCCGAGTTATTCACCCATCAAAAGCTTGTGGAAGAGAAAGATTTTACAGGCTTTCCGAAAAGCAAATAGGTCTTGGATAGATTGGGTTTCAACTGGCAAGGCATTCCATAAATAAGGGGCTACAATCGAGAAGGTCCTCTGCCTAGTACAGAACAGATGATAAGTCCGTATGCCACGTTTGGTTCAATGCCATAATTGGTGGAGTTCAGAATGCTCTTTGATTGTAGGCGAACTATAAATCCCAGCAACTACAATTCCCAAATGACAAAATCAAAAAAAAAAATGAGTGAAGGACATACATTGGGTTGTTAGGTGTATGCTGTCCAAATTTGGTGTCAATTGGCCCACTGGTTTTTGAGTTCTGTTAATCCCACAAACGAACATTACATGTTTATTCATATAGATAAATAATGTATAAATGCACATTCACATGGAACAAGAAAGAAAGAAAGATCAACTTTAAAATGGTAGAAGCACAAAGTTGTGGCAAGGAAGCATAAAGTGAAAAGGCAGAAGCATCCTTTTCTTCTTCATCTTGTCCTCATTCTAGACTCCCTTTTCTTTCTTCATGAAGCCAGATATACCAGGAATAAAAACGCACACAAAATCAACTAACCCAAAGTTCCTCAAATCGGACAAGAGCAAAGCAGACAGCAATCTCCCAAAGTGGACAACAGCATGAAGCCCGGAGACTGCTCCCTTGAAGCCCTAAAGCCCTGGACTCTGGCACCAGCATTCCCTCTGGCACTAGCTCTTAACTCAAAATGCTGCACTTATGTCAAAGCAAAACCAGGGTCGAGCAATGATTCTTAACTCAAAATGTTCTTAAGTTGGGACACTCTAAAGTCGAGGTTCCACTGTAGGACCTTACTCGTTGCCTTAGTGGATTTAATTCTTGGATGAGAATAATAATAATAATAATAATAATAATAATAATAATAATAATAATAATAACAACAACAACAATAATAATAATAATAATAAACACCTTTGTTTATATTCCACCCTCATTCTCCGAGGGGACTCAGGGCGGATTACAACAAAAGATGGCAAACATTCAATGCCAGTTCCAATACATAAATAACAACATAAAGCAATCAATTAATCCACATCTAACATAACAGATATTCAACATTAATTATATAAACAACACATTAACATTCATTTAAAATCATTATTAAAATATAATACAGCTGATGAAGCCAGTGAAGTCAACGGGATAATCTAAGTTGAAAGCCAACTGAGTCAGAGTGCAGTGACAAATTCAGAACAGGACTATTAAGTGACTGTGAACTTCTAGCCATCCTCCTCTCCATATGT